GAAAATACAACCAAAAGTAAAACTTGCTTTAAGTGTGCCTTGCACTTAGACCAGTGTTTTCCCCCCCTTAATATAGCTTTATTTTTGAGCTGCACAAACACACTTAAGACTTTGATCTTCATAGTACGGCATTTAGGAAATAAAAATATACTCCCACCTTAAAGAAATAAAAAGGTTGTGCATGATTATATGCCAAACAAAAGAGAGAACACTAGAATACTCTGATAGTGCAGGCATCATTAAAAAGGAAAAGAAAAAGCTTGAGATGCTCATTAATTCTCTTAAGTTTTAAGGAAGCAGGATTTTTGACTATGTAGCTTAAAAGCCAGCAAAACAGGGATCAGTGACGGCAACTGTAGTGTATGGAGTATGAAATGACAAACTTTACACAAATACACTGTTAGAAATTTACCAGTGAACACTGAAGATCTGAGAAGCTGCTCTTTGGAACAGTCAAGTAGGACCACCTTATTCCAGTCACATAAGCCCTTGTAAAGTAACACAGTGTTCTGTGCTATATACTTGCTGGCTGGGTAAAGGATTTGTTTTGTCATTAGCAGCTAACAAACTTATTCCACATGTTCTTAAAGCCTTAATGGTGGAAAAAAAGGCAAATGTCATTAGTGTGGAGGATCGTATACTTCTCTGCACACAAACACAAGAGGCTTCACTAGTATTTTTAAAGTCTCTGATGTCTCCCATTGCACTTCAAAGCTCAATTGAGATGAAAGCCTTTCTCCATTGTAGCAGCTAGCAGGCGCTCTCTCATGATCTCCTCGGAAGAATATTCAGGCAACTTAAGGTAATGCACACATGTATTGACTGATGGATAGCTTGCATCAGTAGCGTCAACCTACAGAAAGAAAGGAAATACAACAGAAGACCATGAGTTTAAATACTTCTTTCTTTCAAAACTAAAGTAACTAAATTTCATTTGGATTCCCCATTAGCCAGAGAGCTTGTACCTTGCGTACAACTGTGAGCCTGGGATGCAGGTTAGCCAGTCCACCTGGGGGCAGAGTTGAACAACCAGTGGTAAACTGCAAGAATGCTTTCCTTTCATCAGAAGACATGCCACATAAAACCCTCACAAACCTCAGGAAACCAGGGCTAAAAGAACAAAAATACAGTTACACTAAGTTGACAGCAGATTTAAATGAAAATCACTACCACTACTTTGTAAGCCAGCAACAAGCCGCCTAAAAAAAAACAATATCCTCACATCAGAAGAAGAGCACATCTAAAGACTCTTGGGTAAGTATGAAATGGGCTAATACAAGCTACTTTAAAAATAACCCTGGCCATGCATGGCGGCTCATGCCTATAATCCCAGCACCTTGGGAGGCCGAGGCAGATGGATCACCTGAGGTCAAGAGTTCGAGACCAGCCTGACAAACATGGTGAAAACCAATCTCTACTAAAAATACAAAATTAGCTGGGCATGGTGGCGCATGCCCGTAATCCCGGCTACTCAAAAGGCTGAGGCAGGAAAACTGCTTGAACCCAGGAAGCAGAGGTTGCGGTGAGCCAAGATCATGCCATTGCACTCCAGCCTAGGCAACAAGAGCAAAACTCTATGTCAAAAAAAAAAATTAATACAAATGTAGTATAGCCTAACAGGTTACAATTAAGAAATTTTTTTAAATAATGAATAATTAAAACACAATAAGAAAAGGAATCAACATCAGCCATGTCAATTGTCTTTTTTTGTTTTGTTTTCTCTCGAGTTTCATTCTTGTTGCTCAGGCTGGAGTGCAATGGCACGATGACCCACTGCAACCTCCACGTCCTGGGTTCAAGCGATTCTTCTGCCTCAGCCTCCTGAGTAGCTGGGATTACAGGCGTGTGCCACCATGCCCAGCTAATTTTTGGTATTTTTAGTAGAGCTGGGTTTTACCATGATGGCCAGGCTGATCTCAAACTCCTGACCTCAAGTGATCTGCCCGCCTTGGCCTCCCAAAGTGCTGGGATTACAGGTATGAACCAATGCACCTGGCCTGATATCAGTTGTCTTTTTGTATCTTCCCAGCCTTATCAATGGATATGCATTCTGGTAATTGTGAGACACCATTGCTTTCTCACTTACTTTATGAATGTAATTCACTGAGTTACAGTTCTTTAGAGAATCTGTCATTTGATTTGGGGAATATAAACAATTTTGTTGATCTTAGAAAATAGTAACACATACCTATCACGCGTATAACCCAGCTTAGGTTCAGTGTAATTGATAATATCCTCTGCTGCCCAGGACGGTGACTGGTTTCCACAAAGAATCATTTGAACTTCTTCATGGCTGAAGGAACTTAATTTCTCCATTGGAAAAACTTTATTAAACCCATCTACATCGTACACACAACAGAAACACAAAAAAAAGCACAACTCAATTTCCAAGTTATGGTTCCAAAATACCAAATTTCAAACCAAAATACCCATTATCAGAACCAATCTAAGTGTCTATCAAGTGATGAATGTCTAAAGAAAATGTGGTATATATACACAATAGAATACTATGCAACCATAAAAAGGAATGAAATCTATTAAGTGAAATAAGCCAAGCACAGAAAGATATATATCACATGTTCTCACTCATATGTGGGAGCTTAAAAAGTTGATCTCATAAAGGTAAAGAATGATTGATACCAGAGGCTGGGAACACGCATGTGGAGGTGGATGCAGAGAGGTAGGTTAATGGATATAAACTTACAATTAAATAAAAGGAGTAAGTTCTAATGTTTTCTAGCATAGTAGGGTGACTATAGTTAACAATAATATATTGTATATTCTGAAGAAGCTAGAAGAGAATAATTCGAATGTTCCCAACACACAGAAATGATAAATGTCCAAGATGATGGATATCCTATATACAGATTTTATCGTTACACATTCTGTGTATCAAAATATGTGTGCCCCATAAACATGTACATATATTATGCAACAATGAAAAAATACCCATTACCAATGAAATGGACAGAAGATGAAGAAAACATTCATAAATGTTTGAACAAACAAGCATAAATTAAGATAGCTTGAAATTAAAACTGTTTTAAATCAGAAATCCCTGCTTAACAGCACAAATGTGAACAGAGGGGTAACATTCAGTTGTAATGGTTAGTAGGCAAATTCTTATTACTACTCAGTCTGGAGTTTGCCAGCTCTTTCTGTCATACAAGTCAGGCAAAAAACTGTGTTCTCATTTTCAAAAGTAATTTACAGTGTAATATACTTTGTTCCCATCATGATTCTTTCATAGTTTAATTCATGAGATGAATCTAGAATATATGCAACCTTATGTCCACTCTTCTTTCTTTCCCTCCATCCCTCCCTCTTTTCTCTCTCTCTCTCTCTCTCTCTGTCTCTCTCTTTCTTTCTTTCTGAAAGGTCTTCCTCTGTTGTGCAGGCTGGAGTGCAGTGCCCCAAACATGGTTCACTGTAGCCTCAGCCTCCTGGGTTCAGACTATTCTCCCAAGTCAGCCTCCCGGGTAGCTGGGACCACAGGCACATGCCACCACATCTGGTTAATTTTTTTAAAAATGTTTTGTAGAGACGGGGTCTTGCCATGTTGTCCAGGCTGGTCTTGAACTCCTGAGCTCAAGCAATCCTCCTGCCTCAGCCTCCCAAAGTGCTGAGATTACAGGTGTGAGCCACCACACCTGACCACCAGCAATTCTTGACCTTAATTTCAACTGTAAAAGGAGAACAATTATGCTAAAAATCCTTTAAAATTACCTCTAAAGGCTTCCATTTGTTTCTGAATACCCGTATGCATACAAAAGTCAAACATCAAATCCACATATTCTTCTGCATTATCCATTGTTATCATCTGCAAAAGAAAATTTGTCAGTATTATTGTTAATATCTAGGAATATTTCAGGAGTGCCTAGTACAACTGGCCTTGTTAAGAGGATGTTTCAGAATTTATGGCTATATTAAAAGCAAACTTTTGGCCAGGCACAGTGGCTCATGCCTGTAATCCCAACACTTTGGGAGGCTGAGGCAGGTGGATCATGAGGTCAGGAGTTCAAGACCAGCCTGGCCAAGATGGTGAAACCTTGTCTCTACTAAAAATACAAAAATTAGCCAGGCATGGTGGCAGGTGCCTGTAATTCCAGCTACTTGGAAGACTGAGGCAGGGAACTGCTTAAACTCCGGAGCCGGAGGTTGCAGTGAGCCAAGACTGCACCACTGCACTCTAGCCTGGACAACAGAGGAAGACTCCATCTCAAAAAAAAAAAAAGAAAAAGAAAGAAAAAAACCAAACTTTTTACCTCATCTTCACCACTTGGCTTGAGATCCACGGCTGTAAAACCATATATTCTTGAGGAAGGGCAAAACTGGAAATTTAAACTGGGAGGACAAAAAAGATTAACTGACACGCAGCTACTACTAATCACATTTAATTTTTATAACACTATCATCTGCCATCAGTGGGTACAAGAGAAAAAAAATTAAATAACATGGCTATCAAAACCATAAATCCCACCCCTCTCTTCCTACAACAAAATCAGTACACCAGCTTACAAGTAAGCTCAGGTCTTTTAAAATGCAATATTCTATGGACAAAATCTACTAGGTCAACTGTTACCAAATCTGTCTGGCTTTGCAAAGATTGTAAGAAAACACCACCTTTCTATATTACTTCTAGCTTATGGCACAAAATTAATGAACTAAAATTTTTGCACTGAA